AAAAAAGGGAAGGTTTTTTTCACTTCTTAAATCTGGAAAGATCAGTTTTTATGTAGAAGAAAAGAAAATATAAAACTTACACAGCTTCTTTGTTCTTGAGGTAATAATCTGCCAACAAGTAATATATAGCATCAACTACAGGTCTGAAATAAAAAAATAAAATATCTACATTGTATAATCAAATTACTTAACTGTACAAAAAAAGTTGATAAATGTCAGCACTATCTTGCAAGATTAGTATATACACCTGGCTTAACAGCAACTTATATTGTACATGTATGTTTGTAACTGAAATAAGAAGGAATGCTAAGTCACACAAAATATTAACTGTCATATATCCATGAAGTTATCCCTTGATCTAATAAGTACCATTCTGATCATTCTTTATTCACTAGTTTATACATTATTTATCTTAGCTCAACTGTGAAACAAAAGCTTGTTGCATATTTTGTATCACTTGTTAGTTTGTTTTCTGGAAACATGGTTGTCATCCCAGTGGGACTTGGACCCATGATATCAAGTTAAGAGGCAGACACACATGCTGCTAGTTCACCCTACCTCTAATACTTTATTAATGGGATTTTTATCAAACCAGAGAGGCAAACAAGTGCTTTTTCTTCCAAAAATACAACAAGAGGGCCATGATGGCCCTGAGGTCGCTCACCTGTATATAGGCCCCCGAAGCGGGGCCAGTTTAAACCCAAGGGCTTTTATTTGAACAAACTTGGAATTAAGACACCCATTAAAAGATGTTTCAGGATGTTAAGTTTTTGCTATACACATATATGGAAAAACAATGACCTTCTCCCCCCCCCCGGCAGAGTTAATTTTAACCCAAGGGCTTTTATTTGAACAAACTTGATAGACACCCATAAGAAGATGTTTCATGCTAAACATCTAAGCTCTAGCTCTTCGGGTTTTTGAAAAGAAGATTTTTTAAGTTTTTACTATACACATATAGTTAAAAACAATGACACCCCTGGGGCGGGGCCAGTTTTGACCCCAGGGCTTTTATTTAAACAAAATTTGTAGACACTTATGAGAAGATGTTTCATGCTTAATATATAAACTCTAGCTATTTGGGTTTTTTCAAAGAAGATTTTTTAAGTTTTTGCTATACACATATAAGGAAATCAATGAACCCCGGGGCGGGGTCAATTTTGACCCCAGGGCTTTAATTTGAACAAACTTTGTAGACACTCACTAGAAGATGTTTCATGCTTAATATCTAAACTCTAGCTATTTGGGATTTTTCAAAGAAGGTTTTTTAAGTTTTTGCTATACACATATAAGGAAAATCAATGACCCCCGGGCGGGGCCAATTTTGACCCCAGGGCTTTTATTTGAACAAAACTAAGTAGACACCCATTAGAACATGTTTCATGCTAAATATCTTAGCTCTAGCTCTTTGAGTTCTATAAAAGAAGATTTTTTAAGTTTTTACTATATGCATATAGGGAAAATCAATGACCCCCTGGGGCGGGGCCAATTTTGACCCCAGGGCTTTTATTTGAACAAACTTCGTAGACACTCATTAGAAGATGTTTCATGCAAAATATCTAAGCTCTAGCTCTTTGGGTTCTTTAAAAGAAGATTTTTTAAGTTTTTACTATATGCATATAGGGAAAATCAATGACCCCCTGGGGCGGGGCCAATTTTGACCTCAGGGCTTTTATTTGAACAAACTTGGTAGACACTCATAAGAAGATGTTTCATGCCAAATATCTAAGCTCTAGCTCTTTGGGTTCTTTAAAAGAAGATATTTAAAGTTTTTTCTTTCGGTTGCCATGGCAACCAGAGTTCTGCATGGAATTAAATTCTTTGAACAATTTTTAAAGGTTACCACCAAAGGAACATTCCTGTGAAGTTTGGATGAAATTGGCTTAGTGGTTTATGAGGAGATGTCATTTGAAGCAAAAGTTTACGGACGGACGACGGACGGACGCCGGACAAAAAGCGATCACAAAAGCTCACCCTGTCACTTTGTGACAGGTGAGCTAAAAACAAAAACAGTCTTCAAACCAAGCTCAATACATTTATCAACCAATGATTAAATATTTACAGTTAACAAGATCACTATTATTTGTACAAAAATTTCATTGTTCATGTTGATATGTTGACACCTAAGTACAGTAACAGGTTAACTACATATATAATCCAAAGGGGGTTAACATGTTTCTTCACTAAGATGAAGCTATACAGGCCCTGATCTTGAGTTATACAAGAACATAAAGACTATCAATATTTATTATTCATTTCATTAATTACTTACAGTGTAACTTGTCTACCATCTTGTATTGCTGGTGTTATACTGTTTGTTCCCTCTATATAACTCTGTATATCATCAACAGGTATACCTGTATATCAGATTTCAAACATGTAACATTCTATAGTAATATCCTGTATCATTTATATGACATGTCATTTCATTTAGATATTAAAAAATTTTATAAAACATTCTAACACGCTTCTAAACATTCCCCTATCAAACAGATAGGGCAATCAAGTGTATAATCACAAGATATATATATGTAGAGCACTAACACATCATCTGACATCAGATATGATATCAATAAACCAAACATCATCATGGAAAATTACTTCTACACTCAATGTAGTTCCACATATTTTTATCAATTCTCTTTTATTTTAGCATGTATCAATGGAAATAGATATTAATTTTTCTTGCATTATTGTATAATAATGCTGTTTTTTATTTAAATGCTTTGTAATTAATCACTCGGGCCTGTTGGCCTTTGTGATTATATTTCTGCTCATTTGAACTCAAATCATGAATTATTCTACAACAATGACTCAAAATTGATATCTATTTCCTAAATATAGCAATATGTGACCAGCTTTTGTATATTGTATACTACAAAATTATTGTGTAATGTGTTATTCTTTTTATAGTGACATCATCCATTGAGTTTACATAGGGTTAATGACATAACAAAATTTTTAATTGAACACATGTTACATACAGAAATACAGTACGTATTGGTTAAATATTCTTATTTTGTTCTCCGTTATTTTTGTGCATTTGTAAAATGGTTCTTATATTTGCAAATATGTTGAATAAAAATCACTTTTCTACAGATATTTTTGTTCAACCTTTTACTTTATTCATAAATAAGAACATTACAATAAGACAGCAGTTTGCTGAAACTTCAAGCTTTTTTGATATTTTCTTTACTCCATGTCTGTTTTGATAAGCTTATTACAAGTTATAATAATATATCAGTGTTTTTTATGTGTTTATTGCCAGTTATAACAATATGTCAGTGTTTATTGCCAGTTATAATAATATATCAGTGTTTTTATGTGTTTATTGCCAGTTATAACACTATGTCAGTGTTTATTGCCAGTTATAACAATATGTCAGTGTTTTTATGTGTTTATTGCAAGTTATAACAATATGTCAGTGTTTTTATGTGTTTATTGCCAGTTATAACAATATATCAGTGTTTTTATGTGTTTATTGCCAGTTATAACAATATATCAGTGTTTTTATGTGTTTATTACCAGATATAACAATATATCAGTGTTTTCATGTGTTTATTACCAGATATAATAATATATCAGTGTTTTCATGTGTTTATTGCCAGTTATAACAATATATCAGTGTTTTCATGTGTTTATTTCCAGATATTGTAAGGCATGTAAAGCTTGTTATTGTTACTGAAATATTCTATTTTTAGAATCATTATTTATTTATTAAATAATTACTTATTGTCATTTTTAGCATCTAAGTAATGTATACGCAATATTCCTATTCAAACAAGGACAGTAAAGTAATAATATTGTTTTCAGCATTCTAATAATTCACTATGTATAAACGTTCCTAAAATTGAATGTTACCTTTCTCCGAATTTCATGTTAGATTGTTGACATTTTAGGAAGCACGATTATTTCTTTATTCCTGGATTAACATGTCTGTTACTCCACATTTTTGTAGTATCCATTATGTTTTGATGTTATAATCAGTAATTGTTCATAAAACATGTTCTAATCAATTTATTTTTGTCTAAATAATAATTCCTAAAACTTTCCCAAAATGTTCATGGAGGCTGCCATCTTTGTTTTAGGTACACGAGTACCGATATCTGTAGTTTGTCTAGAAATGAAGCATATTTGACTTTATTGTGTAACATGTTTTTCTGTATTATGTGATTATAATGTTTGCTTCTCAAATTGTTCAAGAGATTTATTGTAATAATTTATTTGTGTAAAACAAGACCGCACTATTTGTATGGTCATTCGCGTAGTAAAGTTGGGTTGTGGAATCACCCTAATTCTCTTTAAATTGTAATAATCCTGCTAAATTACCATAAGTATTTAATTGAGATGTATTAAATAGCGTAAGTGTTATTCTCAAACATAATGATTACTTACAACTTTATATGTTTTACTTTTGTATTTTGTAATTATGATCTCTTGAGCTGTTTACTCATTTTAGGATGGGAATTCCTAACCGATTCTGATTGGGCTTAGATAAATCCTAAGTGCAATCTGATTGGTCGGGAATCCTTTCCTGAATTCCTAAACGGCTCAAAAGGTTTTTATAAATAGAGCGACAGTCCTCATTTTGGAACAACAACCGCCCACTAAAGTTGCTTAGGCGCGATAATTCAAAACTGAGCGGAAAAAACATCAAACTGAATTTTTAGTAGTTTCTATTAGGAAAGACTCCTAAATCACATTGGGAATATGTATTAAACTTTTTATTAAGCAACTTTTCCTGAATTAGAGCTGAAGCGTACTTCATGTTATAACTTTTAATCCTAAAACTAAACGGATATTAGACCAAAGAATCCAAACTTGATAAAGCGTTGTTGACTTATATTTTAGGAAATCATAAAATCACTTACATAGCGCCTTATGAAATGATGCCGAAACTTAATTTCTGAATATTGATGATAAAGATATATTAAAATGTTAGAATATATATGCAGTTTATGTATACAAAACTATGTATACACTATTAAACCAAAGAATTGAAACTTGATGAAAGCGTTGTATTATTTATTCCGGAAATCCTAAAGAAAAGATTCTACTAATATAACATTGAAACCGGGTGCTGTATATAACAGATGCTAAGTTAGCATATATGTTTATACAGTAGAACTTGTGGCGTATTTTTGAATCAGCTATCCTGACACTGCGGCAAAAGTACGTTACAATATAACAATTTATTACCCTTCCAGATTTTTTCCGCCTTTTTGATTGGATATTGATCACCCGAAAGAAATTGATATAACCGAGCCAGACGGGTAATATACACACTAAATTTCCCCGTTGGGTACCCAACGTAGTAAACAACATGCGCTGAGGTATGATGCGCGTACGGTTCGATTTTACGCGGTTTGTAAATTCCGATTTAAAAAGCACTTTTTAACTGTCAAATGATAAGTTTTTTTTTTTAACCAAAGTAGAGTAATGATACATATTACCATCAGTATCGAAAACAAATATGACCTTGTGAAAAAGCTTGATATTAATTACAAAAAAGTGCGTTCAATAGACTACTCCTTTCTCTCTTGTTTACATTCGTTAGGTACGGGAAAATACGTCCATGTATTTATGTGACGTCATGTTGTGACGAAGAGGTACCCTAAAGGGAAATCTTAATTTCGACGTTTCATTTGAAACAGAAATGATTTTTTAAAAAATCGTCTAAACTCGGCAGGGGAAGGGTTAATAAAATTATTATTTTGGTTTTGGAGTGATATATGTGGATATATTACCTGCCAAGATAAAATATCACCCTCGCCTAACGGCTCGGGTGATATAAAATCTTAACAGGTAATATATCCACATATATCACTCCAAAACCAAAATAACATATAATATCAGTGTTTTCATGTGTTTATCACCAGATATAATAATATATCAGTGTTTTCATGTGTTTATTACCAGATATAATAATATATCAGTATTTTTATGTGTTTATTGCCAGTTATAACAATATATAATTATTGCTGTATGGATGCTGTATGGAGGCATGGAGGTTGTATTAAAGCTGTATAGAGGATATTTGTTTAGTTCAGTGTAAGATCGGAATATATTTCACTGAGTGAGCACCAAAAGGTATATTTCACGAGTGGCGCAGCCACGAGTGAAATATGAACTTTTGGTGTTCACAAGGTGAAATATATTTCGATCTTACACTAAACTAAACAAATTTTCTTTTTATTATATGCAAAGAAACGTTTTAAAAAGACATTAAACCTAATACTGAATGAAAAGCGCTCCAAATAATAATACAACGTGACGTCATTTACGACGTCACGTCATTAAGTTGGTACCCAGTACTGTGCACGCTGGTATTTCACTGAAACAACGTAAGGGGCTTAAATTCAAAACAGTGAAATTATCAAAGTGGTAATTTCACTGTTTGAAACAGTGAAATTACCAGTTTTATTTCACTGATATATTTCTATAAACCACCGAAAAGCATGTAATAAATGGTTGTATTAAGGCTGTATTAAAGTGGTATGGTAGCAGTATGGAAACTGTGAAGATTGTCCTGGCTCTCTATATATGTATGTCATTATTGTTATAACTATTTGAAGGTTAATTCTTATTTACCCTGTATACTTACCCATAGTTTTACAGCTTTCAGGAATTAACACAGTAATCCTCTTCAATAAAAACTCTACCTGTAATTATATAAAATATATGAAATCAATAAATAAAAAATTCAACTTGTTTTTGTTTATTGATTTGGTTTTAAGACACACATACAAAATCATATGACCTCTATTCAGCTTTACTCAAATTACTGGTTAAGAAAGACAGCAAGTGCCACTCTGTGCAATTTTTCCGGCATAACTGGTCACAAGGTTAGGACCAACCACCTTTTATAGGCTAGATGGAAAGCTTCATCATTTCATCTTGTAATGAACCATGACCAAATGAAGTTTTTTGTTGCTGTTTTTTTTTCCTTCAAATTATAATTTATTTGTTCTGATTGTATTTCATTCATACTTTGGGCAAAAAAGGAGTTATAAAAGATTTTCTTTACCCTATGTATATCAACATTTCACTGAATTAAGACAAAACTTTCCCTCTGATATAATGTTTCAGTATGGAAATATCTTCTTAAATATGAAGGTATCCCTGTTATATAATTTCAATCACTCTGTCCCAAAGTAAGTAAAGTCATAACTATTTCTTCTGGAAAATGAATAAGATTAAAATCATGACACAAAATTCATAAAGGAAAAAAGGTGCATTTCTATTTACCTCTGCACTGATTGTTTCTGATCTATATCCATCAAACTCTGGAAGTGTTTTTGGCTTGAAATACTCAAACACATCCACAGCATGGTCCCATTGTAAACTTATATTGCTGGCATTGTGGTCCTTAAAAAACAAATCAGATATAAACCAATCATGAAACTGCTAGTTAAGTGACAATGATATCAAACAAAGTCAATCATGAAACTGCTAGTTAAGTGACAATGATATCAAACAAGTGGATTTTTTTAGTCAACAATCTTAACCACTCAGCCAAGGACACCCTTAAAATGTGGGTGAAAAAAAATTAAGTGCTTGAATGAACAGATTTAAGTAAACAATAAAGACAATCTAACCTGTAAATGTTTAGCCTTTCCCTTTTTGTTAGGATGACCAAACAGACAATACACACATTGTTCAAATGCTTGCTGGTACTCCTCTTGGAATTTTTGACACTGGTTCCTTGCACATAGCTTTTCTTCAATACAGACATAAAGAACCAGAAGTAGGGCACCATCTGACTTTGGTTACACCATGAACGACTGAAAGAAAGGACAAAAATGAACATTCATCATCTTAGTGAATGTATTGCAATCATAGTTGTGTTAGGGTATCAAACAAATAACAAAAAGATCAATTCAATAGAAAAAATATGGTTAAAGGGACATCCCTTAAGTAGTAGGAATGAAAAATAATTTTAAAGTGAAATTTGCAGACTCAGTATGATAAAGTTTTTTGTTTTTTTGTTGTTGTTTTTTTTAATTGGTTTTTATTTCACACCAACAAAAGTATGGGGACTTTCTAGCTTTACTCGTAGAGGAAGACGTCAGGAACCCCTGTGTGCGCTATTTCAGGCACAAACCTGAGTGGAACCACAGACAATATGTAAGCTAACTGGATATCTTTCTCACAAACAAGAATCTTGCGAGGTTGGAACCTACAATGGTTAGAGGCAAGTGATGATGAAGTCAGTTCATGAGATCAATTAATGGTGGTGATATGCTCCAGATGGATACTTGTATTGCCTCAATATTATCTTCCAATTAAAGATATACAATAGAAACTTAGACAAGATAGAACCTTAAGAAGAAATATCTTCACTTTACCTTCCCAGATAATCATGAGCTATATTTAGTAACATATATGATGATGACATATTTTCTTCAGTTTTTTCTTCCACACTATCTCCCTTCAATCTTGCTTCTTCTAACTTATCCTCTTCTCTGAAACAGAACACAATTCATAAATGACTTGTGTTTTACCATTCAAGATAGCAGTATTTATATTCTCAACAAACACTGGGATGATGGTCATTATAATGTGTTCTTAGTTTTGAAAAAATATCATAATTTGTAAAGTAATATAATAGGTCAATTAAAACAAGAGGGCCATGATGGCCCTGAAATCACTCACCTGTATAAAGGCCCCCGGGGCGGGGCTAATTTTAACCCAGGGGCTTTTATTTGAACAAACTTGGTAGATCCCCATTTGAAGATGTTTCATGATAAATATCTAAGCTCTAGCTCTAAGAAAATTTTTAAGTTTTTACTATACACATATAGTGAAAAACAATGACCCCCCCCCCCCTCTGTGCGGGCCAATTTTGTCCCCAGGGCTTTTATTTGAACAAATTTGGTAAACACTCACTAGAAGATAATTCATGTTTAATATCTAAACTCTAGCTCTTTGGGCTTTTTAACAGAACAGTTTTTACTATATACATAAAAGGAAAATAAATGATCCCGGGGAGGGCCAATTTTTTAACCCCAGGGCCCTTAATTTAACAAAAATGGTAGACACCCATTAGAAAATGTTTCATGCTAAATATCTTAGCTCTAGCTCTTAAGATTTTTTAAAAGAAGATTTTTTTATGTTTTAACTATATATATAAAAGGAAAAACAATGACCACCTAGGGCGGGGCCAATTTTGACCCCAGGTCTTTTATTTGAACAAACTTGTTAGACACCCCCTAGAAGAGGTTTCATGCTTAATAGCTAAGCTCTAGCTCTCTGGGTTTTTTAAAAGAAGATTTTTTAAGTTTTACTTTATGCATATAGGGTAAATCAATGACCCCCTGGGGCGGGGCCAATTTTGACCCCAGGGCTTTTATTTGAACAAACTTGGTAGACACCCATTAGAACATGTTTCATGCTAAATATCTTAGCTCTAGCTCTTTGAGTTCTTTGAAAGAAGATTTTTTAAGGTTTTACTATATGCATATAGGGAAAATCAATGACCCCCTGGGGCAGGGCCAATTTTGACCCCAGGGCTTTTATTTGAACAAGCTTGGTAGACACTGACAAGAAGATGTTTCATGCCAAATATCTAAGCTCTACCTCTTTGGGTTTTTTAAAAGAAGAAATTTTTTAAGGTTTTACTATATGCATATAGGGAAAATCAATGACCCCCTGGGGCGCGGCCAATTTTGACCCCAGGGCTTTTATTTGAACAAACTTGGTAGACACCCATTAGAGGATGTTTCATGCTAAATATCTTAGCTCTAGCTCTTTGGGTTCTTTAAAAGAAGATTTTTTAAGGTTTTACTATATGCATATAGGGAAAATCAATGACCCCTGGGGCAGGGCCAATTTTGACCCCAAGGCTTTTATTTGAACAAACTTGGTAGACACTGACTAGAAGATGTTTCATGCCAAATATCTAAGCTCTACCTCTTTGGGTTTTTTTAAAGAAGATATTTTAAGTTTTTTCTTTCGGTTGCCATGGCAACCAGAGTTCTGCATAGAATTAAATTCTTTGAACAATTTTTAAAGGTGACCACCAAAGGAACAT